GGAATGAGTAAGGGCTATGTAACAGGCCTGCTGGGACATAGGACAGTCCAGAGATCTGGGAGAGGAGACCTGGAACTCAGGGTTCTCTTAAAGCAAGTGGGAGACAAGTGAGAAAACCAGGCTGAACACAAAGAGGCCCTGGGATGTAAAATCAAGACAGTTTGGATAGTGGGGCTAAGACTCTACTTGTTGAGGGTTCTATCTGGCGGTAGGGGAGGGGAGGGAGGAGTGCCGACATAAGGGAGCAGGAGAGGAACTGATTGACAGGCAGAAGGGTTGGAAGCTGAGTGCAAGAGAAGATCTAAAGGCTATGGTGAGGGAAAAGAGACCCCCAGATGAAGTGCTGTCCCTAGCAAGAGACAGGGACAAAGCATGACCGAAAGGGACCACCCAGTCACTGGGTTCAGTCCCCTGCTACTGCAGGCAACAGAAGCATGTAATCTCTTTAAAAAATGATTCATCCATAAGCAAGTACATTGTTTCTCCAAAGGCTTCCAGTCTTTCTACTACTGATCTTCAATCTCTCATCAGAAAGTTTGACAACAATAGGAATGGCAGGCCCTGTGTGGCTGCTGCACTGTACAAGTCCAGATTTGAAGCTACAGAAATTTAAGTTACAGAGCTATTGTACAATTTTTCCTTTAGGAAGAAGATTTTGCTTTCTTTTTTAAAGGACAGAAACCTTTAAAAAAACCACACAAAAAAAAAAATCCCCTATAGAGATACAGAGAGTCAGAAATTAAACTGTTATAACACTGATCATTTATTGACACCTGAGGTAGTGGAAGAACAGATGCTGAAACCAGAAAAAGAAACACTGTAGTTAACAATGCAAAAATGGTCAACCAGACCAACATAGAAAGTAGAAGGAAACTATAACGTTTAGATATACATTTTCTCGAATGCTTGGTAATCAGAGAAGTTACCAAATAAGAGGAAATAAAGATGGTCAAAATTAAATAGACACAGATTCTTTAACGTCACCCAAGAGAACTGGATGACTTATTACATTAGAAAAAGGATAGCAAACCTTTTTCCTTAATTTCAGTTAGAGCCCAAGGTCATTTTACTGCTGTTCCAAATACTAAAAGAAATGAGTTGTGGAGAAGCCAAGGAGTGAATGACCATAGAGACTGTAATTCCCTCTCAACCCAAGATGTGTTCTTTCTCCAGATTTGCTGTTGAAATGAACTGTGAAGGCAGTATAGTGATAAATTTTGCTGAGTCTTATCTCTGGAAAAAGAAATTATACCAGTTTCCAGGGCTATCAACCTGACTGACTCCTTTTGCCACCAATACATTTGTTTAAAATGAGTTACATGGAAAATAGTATACAAAAACCTATCAAATGTCCTGATAAGAAAGAACTGTATGGTAGTATTGATATAAGTAGGGTTCTTACTCTAGTAATATTCAGCCTTATCTAATCAGAGAGCCTGACCCAATAGAATCAAGGTATTTTATAACATGTTCTTCAAATCCAGGTAGCACAAGATTTTTTTTCCTGTAGTTTAAAGCTGTACCTACAAAACTGATGCTGGGTAAAGTGCAAATATTCTTTCATTTACCACATGGAAACTTCAGAAGTCTTGTGGAGATTGTTGTAGTTTGGCACAGGCACACATAACCCCCTCCTGCCAGGTACTGTATGTCTAAATGTCAGATTTTGAGAAGCTGAAAACTTCAAGGGCTTTGGGGTCTGAACTACCCTATTGTGTCTAGTGGACATCCCATCAGATCAGATCAATGCTTGAGGCATGCAGACAGAACATTATGTCCTGGGAATTTTTTCTGCTGCTGTACCTTTTAAAGGAAAGCTAAGCTCATGGCATATGGCAGCAGTTCCCAAACTGTGGGTCGTGACCCCAAATGGGGTCACAATATCAGCAGATGAGGTTGCAGTGCAGTGCTCTCTCCTGTGAGAGGTCCCACCTGCTGGGTTGTAGAGCCCCGGGGGAAGGGCAGCGGGGCAAGTTGCCCCAAGCCCACAGCGGACAGCCTGCATCCTGTCCCTGGGAAGGGGCAGGTGCAGGGAGCCAGGCTCTGTGCTCTGGCCTCAGCAGCTGCTGCTTCCTGTGGGTGGCAGCCAGAGCTCAGGCACTGCTGGGGTGGGGAGGCAGGGGACTGCAAGCCCTGGCAAGAGTGGGGGGCTGAGAATTTGGAATAAGGGGCACCTGGTGGGAGTGGGGGGCTGCCAGTTTGGAGTGAGGGGCCATGCAGAGGAAATGGAGTCATGAATGGGGTCATGATGAGGAAAAGTTTGGGAAGCACTGGCATAGGGCTCTGGTTCTCATTTCCCATGCTGGAGGTCCAATGATATGTTTCCATATACCTGCCAGAATCCTAGGCAGCAAAAGAGAGAGACCTGGACACATAGCTGGGCATCACAGCTATAACAGAACCATGGGAGAATAGCAATCAGGACTGGGGCACAGGTATTTAAATGCTGTTTAGGAAAAATAGCCTTGATAGATCTTGAGGACTGGACTAATAAAAGCGAGATGATTTTCAATAGTACAGATTCAAGGTTGTACGCATATGGATTAACAACAAAAAGTTATGCTATAAACTGGTATCTTATCAGTTTAAAATACTGAGGAGGAGAAGAAAGACCTGGCTGTACTGACCAAACAATGACTAGGAACAACCAATATGACGAGTCATGGAAAAGGCAATCCTAGGGTGTATAACTGGAAAGTATTAACGCTACTCTTAAAAGTACATTCTGGTCACCCATATTCAAAGAAGGAATTCAAATTGAAACTGGTGCAGAGAAGGCTTACTGAGGATGACCTGGTGAAGAGAGAGCCAATCTTATGAGAAGACACTAAAAAAAACTCAACTTGTTTAGCTTAGCAACAAAGACTGAAAGGAACTATGATTGCTCTCTATTAGTACACCTGGCAGTTAATAATAAGAAGGGGAAAAAAAGACAACTTAAGCAACATAGATAGCAATATTGGCACAAGAACAAATGAGCATGAACCAGCCATAAATAAATGTATACTGGAAATCATTAGAAGGTTTCTCACCATCAGACCAGTGAGGTTTTAGAAAAACCTTTTTGTAAAAGTAGCAGAGACTAAAACTTTGACTGTTTCAAAGTGAAGCTTCATCAGTTTATATGAAGTAAGTGTTTGTCTTCAGTAGCTGAGAACTAGACTCAGCAACCCAGCTGATCCATTCTAGTTGTATGTTGCTGTAAAAAGGACTTCATTCATTTAAGAGATGCATGCACATTGAATCTACATACTTTATTTAGAACTGAAGTATACCATTCTGTGGAAATCAGCTGTAAACATGCACATTTTATCATTAAATAAATTGAAGAAAGTGTCACATGAAACAGCATAAAACTTGACAGCTATGAGCTAGCTTCAATAGTATTAACTCCAGTTTTGGATGAGACCATAGGACCATCCATGGCTAAGTACTCATCCTAGGGCTCAAATAAAATGTGCAACGACACATAGAAATCTATTGATTACTTTAGAAACACACATTAGACAATAGAAACAGCCCCAACAACAATTCATCCTACATTATAAGTGAAGACTTAAGAGTGCTTTTAGGCAGTAAGTCTCTCTGGGGTTTTGGAGGTTTTGTTTTTTTTAAGAATGGGCTTGTTCTTAACAAGAAAAAGTGCTGGAAATGGTTGGTAATTTTCCATTAGAACATTTTTCCATCCTAACATAGGTTTCAGTCCTTTTGCATGCAGTTGAGATCAAGGACCCATATTTAAATCCTAGGATCTGCAGGAAACAGGTGCCAAGCAACATGCTTATTTTGAGAGCTTCACCCCCAACTTGCTTAGACTCTACAGTGTTTTCTGAAATGTCAAAATTACTTGTAAAAGCCAATATATACTTAAGAGGTGCTATAACTTTATTTTGACTGCAATAGTTTCATTATAGTCACTGTCTTACATTTCAGCTCCCTACAGGATAGCTTGCAAAATCACCCCCATCATACTAAATCACACCAACTGGGAAATTCAAAACACATTTCTGAACTCCTCCATTTGGACACAAACAGGTAAGGAAAACGAGTTACGTAACAAACCCTTAAGATGGTACTGTAGTATGTTTTAAAGTCTGAAAACCTTGGTTGCATTTTTTTCTAGGTTTATTTTGATTCTTTTCCATAAATATTTAACTGGATCTTAAGACATTTATAAATAAGCACAGCGCAGTGACTAAGGGGCTTTTATTTAATCCTTCTAGTAACATAAAGTTTACAAGAATTACATATGCTCCAGGAAAGCTAAAATTGGTCAGGGAGACAAAACAGGAAAGAGAAAGGATACAGGTTTGAGCTGAATTATAGGGCTGTGTGAAGCTTTGGTCTCCGATCCGATTCAGTGGAGATTCAGCCCAATTTGATGGCCGAATGTCCTAATCGAATCAGGAGACCCTTTAATCTCTCTGAAATAAATCAGAACCCTTCAAATCAATTCGGAGAGATTCAGAAAGATTCAACAATTCAGCCATAGACACAGCTTTGAATGTTTTTTCTACATACCTCGAAGTACCAGGCGGTTTGTGAATGCTGTGATGCTAGGGGAGATAGAACATCCCACAGGAACATGGCGGGCTCCCCAGCATGCTCAGCAGCAAATCTGGAAGTGGACCAGAAGCAATTCTGGTCCGCTTCCGGGTCCACTGGGTTGTGTGCTGGGGTCCCCACCCGCACCTCAACCCACGGCTCAGCAACTGGTGCGTCCTGGGTCTGGGGGAGCACCTGGTGTCCCTCCACAGCTGATCACCAAGTTGGGGAGCGTGGCGGGGCTCACATGCTTGGCAGCAGACCCAGAAGTGGACCAGAAGTACTTCCGGTTCACTTCCGGGTTCACCGTCAAGCATGGGGGGGCACTCCATCCGCCCCAGCATTGCACCAGTCACAAGCTGCGCTGGTACCTCGAGGTATGTAGAAAAAACATTTAAAGCTGCGTCTATAGCCAAATTGCTGAATCTTTGAATCATCTTCGAATCTTTAGGTTCAGATTTGGCCGAATCGAATCAGGGACAGTGATCTGAATCAACAAATTGAATCACTGTCCCCAATTCGGGCTGAATCTGAATAGAATACAGCCCATTTTGCACGCCCCTACTGAATTAGTAAAGCGTATTATTGTTTGATTCAATGAATGTCAGATGCTGAGCAAACATAAAACAACAGCATGGTGCTTGCTCCAAAGGTCTTGCACTCTGAATACATGAATGGATTCAACAAGAATATGAATTAAGGTGGAAATAAGTAGCCAGTGTTTCTTTTAGAAACTAAACATAAAAACCTTTCAAGCCATGTAATTCATCACACCTTTCAGTAATGGCTTATCTCTGCATCCTTCATGAGGCCCTTGCAAAAGGAATTCCCTCCCTAATCTGGTCTGACACATCCACACTCTCTGCTCCTCCAATTTTTTCCTTAAAGTTCCTTCGATTTCAGTCCTTTCTTCCTCTCAACAACAAAGCAATAAAGAAGAGGGGAAGAACAAAAATAATTAAAGGAATTAAAAGACAGATCATCACCTCCCACCATCACCACAACCATTCACATGGTTTAAGTCCTATTCTCTGTCCTTTACATACTTTACATTTGTTTCATTGTTGCACCTTGAGGCCCTAATCAGGGCCCTCCATTTTGCTAGATCTGGTGCCTACCTATAAAAAATTAGTCTTTATCCCAAAGTGTTTAAAGTATTTTACAACTAGTAAAGGGGGAAATAAATGAGGCTGGGGGAGGGAAGACACAGTGAAAGTGGAATTAACTACATGTGGAATGATAAACAGAGGTCTGAAGGTATTAGCCACCTAGACACCACTGATCACACTGTCTGTCTGGGCTGTAAGCTTCTTTAGGAAAAGGACCTTGCATTCTCATGTTTGTATAGTAACTGGCACATTTTAAGCCTTGTATACTTGTAAGAAATGTGGAATATATAACAATTTTTAGACTAAAAAGTCACCCAGTGTTTTTTCCACAGAGATGTTTTTTCTTTGAATTTGAAATATGAAATATTTCTTTAAAAACTAATAAGGCTAACTGTCAAGCTCTGCACAGATAACTAAAACTCACACAGTTACAACCTCTTCAAAATATTAAACGAAAGAGAAAATAGTCTCATGCCAAAATGGTTAATGTTTTTATGGGCACTTCCTCTCTGTTCTTGTTGTCTGACATTCTGTCTGTTTTTGCAGGGGTGAAAGTATTCACGATTTGGTCCCATTCAATGTTTGAAGAATCCACTTGCTTTAGAACAGAGAAGCAATCCCTCCTTCCTCGTGTACTAGAGATTTATCTCCGAGTCTCATATCAATTTCAAACAGGGAGTGCAACACTAGCTCACAGTATACTCTTATTGTAACACTCTTACAATATGACAAACCTTCCTGTAACTTAAAGAGGCCAGGATGAAGGACAAGAGAGAACACATGAGAAATCAGCCACTTTTGTTCAGACTGTATGTGTCATACTGATTCACTGCACTTATTCAAATCAAAGTGGATGTTTGGATATTTAAACTGAAAGCACAATCCTAGAAACAAAGAGAAAATTAAAAATTGTGAATAAGGATGAAGCATATCACCATGCATTCTTTTTTAAATTAGCAGCTTGGAGCTTGCTTTGATCTTTGATACCCATGTGTTTGTTACTACTTAAATTACATACTCAACTTGTGTATAGTAACTGATCATGCAAAATATGTTGCATCAAGGATTAGAGCTGAGATCTTCAGGGTTCAGCTTTTACTTAAATAAATGTGGTTTGGCATGTTTGGTACAGATTACACCAGGTGGCAACTGTTCGAAGATTAATCAAAGTTTTAATAACTTCTTGTTTGTGTAGCAAAGAAAAACATTTAGCACAGAAATTCTGCTCAATATGTTTCCACACCAAACAAAATATTTTAGTCTATCATTTTAGCAGCTGGCCATAAAGAACGTGAATAGGTTCTAGTCCTAATTGAAGTAAATAAAAAGTGTAATAGTTCAGCATTATGGGAAGAAATTATTCTGTTGAATTTGAATCAGGTAAAGCCTCCTCTGGAGTACTGTGTCTGGATTTGGGCTGCAAACTTCAAGAAAGATGTGGGCAAATTGGAAAGAGTCCTGAGAAGAGCCACAGTAAGGTTTAAGGAAACAACAAAGGAGGAAAAGTTGACACACAAGTTGTTTCTTTAGTTTCAAGAAGAAAACACCTGAAAGGGCTATAACAATAGTCTTCAATATATGATCAATTGTCCTCTAGGTGCAATGAGGAGGGTAGGATAACCTCACTGTAAAGAAAATTCTGATTAGATGTAAAGAAAACATTTTAACTACAAGTCTAGTTTAAAAGGTTACCTAAGTTTAAATAACATCTGTCAGAATGGTTTAGATAGACTTGATGGGGCAAGAGGATGAAATAGATGACTTCTGAGGAGCTTTCCAGGCCTACATTTCTCCAGTGCTAGCGATTTAGTGCAGGGGATGGCAACCTATATTCCACGGGCTGGATCTGCCCTGCAAAGAGATTTTTAGCCACCCTGGCAAGCAGTGGTGTAACTAGGGGGGCTGAAAGGGGCAACCACCCTAGGTGCCAACTTGTGGGGGAGGGGAACCAAAGAAAGTGGCTGCTGCTGGCAGCTGCATGTTCACATTGATATTTGTGACTGAACCAAAAGTTGCCACTTCTGCTTTGTCCCAAGCGCCCTGTACTGCATTCCCACACTGCTGCTGACAAGCTCGCCAAAAAGTGATATTATTTTTTCCTACAAACTAACTAGATCATAGATACATGCTTTTGTAAGCAGTGCCTTATGTAATCAGATGCACCATCTGCATTAATTCAAGCCTGTTAGTGAAAGATTGTCAACCCCTTTTTTATAATATTTGCTAAGAAATTAAGAAGCCTATGACCCAAATCTGCTGTTCTCATCCACATACCACTTTCAGTGAAACCAGTAAAAGATTTGGGTATAGAAAGGGTATTCAGGCCACAGTTTGGAAAAATCAATAAAACTAGTTAATAGTGACCTAGTCCACCAGCCTTTGCTTTGATATGGATCTCAGGATGGAACAAGGACTAGACATGATCTATCAGAAGTGTAATTATCTTATTCATGTAATAAGAACAGAAAGTTTGACAATTGCTGATCTTGTTTATTACTGATATATTAGAAAAGGCATTCTACTGTTCTACTTAAGGATATGCATTGTCGGTAATGGATTCAACCTACGTCTATTAGCCTATGGTTTTTGCTGTATTATTGGGCTATGGAAATCAAGGAAACAGTATTCTTTAGCAAGAAATATTTCTAACACAGATATCTAGCTGTATTCAAATATGTACTTGCTTACGTACCTGGCAAATGTAAAGGCATAAATTAGATGTGGTGTCAGACTGCAATTCTATTTAGGGAAATTAGTTGTGAGTTGTGTCTTTAGGGTTCCTACTAGTTAGGACAGGGAGGAAAGAAAGATCTTTGACTTTATTTAATGGTACATAACTGCACTCTTTTACAATTCTACAAAGTGATTAACTAAAATGGTTACTCATATTCAAATATGTATCATTGGTTCATTATTCAATGTAAAATTAATGCTAAAATATTTTAAAGTTAAAAACAAATCCTAAAAAGTAAGAGCTCTTTTCTTATATAGTTTTCATTGTCCAGTCCTTAAGCCAAAAGACACAGGGGCACAGTACCTCAACAGTCACAATATATTAACCTGGGTCTTGAGTTCTACAGCAGACTCTTTCATATGCTTTTTTTAAACTAAAGAAATAAATGAAAACGGACAGGACACCTAGCAAATTTTTTGAAACTACACTTGGACACACAGGTCTTTCCACAGACATCATCATGAGGAAATCTGGATTATAACAGAGTCTATTTATATGTAGCTGGAAACTGGTTATCAAATCAAATAAAGTTATCAAAGTAACTGGTTATCAAATTAAATCCCATTCTTTATCCGAAGTAGATTTTTAACAAGATTCTTTTGCAGGGAGGAATTACATCAATATCAATTCAAATAAATTATTCAACAGGTTGGCTTTGTATGGAATCCTAAATGGATGCAATGTGAGAAATGGGCAGCCACACAGAAAAAGAATGTGTTATTTTCAAGAACACATAAAGTTTGTCAATTTTATTTGTATTTAATAGCCAGTTCATTTGCTCACACAAAACATATTTGTTTGAAGGAAAAAAAACATCTAAAATGACTAGCTCCAAAGATCCATTATTTTCTCTCACATACTGCTAACACCAAATGACCAGCAATTGTTTATTCTTTGGGTTGTTTGCCAGGCTTGCAACAAAGAAAATGTAAAAGCTACTGCCTCCATATAGAGATTTGGGTCTACTTTTGCTGTAGGGCTAAGCATCTGTAGCTCCCATTCACATCATCTGAGAATAGTGACAAATCAGACTACAGAAAATTTTGCAAAAATCAAATCACAACAGCTTACAGTCAATTTGAAGGATATTGGATCCCATGATTCAAATTTGGGAAAAAACAACACTGAGATACGCAGCAGGTGACAAAATGCTGGTGGTGCATTGGTGGGATAAAGTCAGTTACAAAATAAAACTAGATAATATAACAAACTAGCTAAAAACAAAAAAACAGGGCACTTGGTGAAGTCAAGGTTCTTAAGTCAAGGACAAGGAAGACACCTTTTTAATTAGCACTGACAATCTCCCAACTCTATCTATTCAGGTGTTCTAAAGAGCCATCATATTGAAAATTATATCAAGAACTCCATTTTCTCAGTAGATCTCTCTCTGGCCTTGAGTAGAACAAACTCTACTACCTGACAGGATGCTTGGCTGCTGCATACATCATAGTTGAGCAAATACCACATTTCTGCAAGTCCTCCCCAGGTACAATTCATTCTACATAACATCTACCTATCTACATATACATAAGGGCATAGAAAACAGAATCACGGGCTAATGAAACATGTTAATACGTTCTCCTCCCACAGTCTTTGTGCAAGAGAAGTACAAAACCAGGAAGAAAACAGAGTTTATATTGTGCAAACAATAATTCAAACCCACATGCTCCCTCTATTTATATTATCCTTATTTAGGGGTTGTGAAATGTCACATATTTATATTCACAGTCTTTTCTCCTAATCACTACCAGAGTAGGAGAAATGCTGCATGACAGGATCTGTCTTGCCACATAATGGTCAAGAAGTTCTGTTTCAGGAACAGAGGCATTCTTTGAGTTCCCTTGTCTCCCCCTTCCATTGTGGCAGCACAATACCCTCAGAAATGGTGCTGCCTTTGAGTCTATACTGCTTCATACTCCTACCACAAGCTGTCAACCAGTGTAGAGAAGAATTAACAAGAGCTGTTAATGGCGTGATTTCTGATTGGAAATCTCTCACTCAGAGCCATGGAACCCTTACGTGGGAGATGCATCAGAGGGCTGTATCAAAGCACCCACTGAAACCATGACTCTCCCCCCTTCTCTAGAGGGGTGCTTTTTTCCAGGGCAGAGCTACTTTTCACATCAAAGAACTAATACAGGCCTATATTGAATGTTTCAGTTTAGATTTCAACTGGGTTACAAGACACAGCTTAACTAGAATGGAATAAATTCATGGTCTCTGCTGATTTCTTTATCAAAACACGTTATAGATGTTATCAAAAGAAAAGTGAAACAACATTAGAAAACAGCAGCTATGACACCTAAACAAAATTACTGTATAACCTTAAAGAAACTACTCATTTAACTTAGCCTAAGAATTTACTCCAGGTCATGGATAGAGATGTACAACAATACAGCACTGTGTTTTGTAACCCTGTGCAAATAATGTAAGTTAAACATTATATTAAGATTCAATTTACAAAGGGCCAATGAACAATTAATAGGTGTTTTAATAAATCAATAATCAACTGCTAATCAAGTCCAACAAGCTACTTCTAACCATCTATAGTACTTTCTACTAATGTGTTTATAACTTTCTATAACACATACTAAAACTTTCTATAATGCAATTATAAACTCTTATCAATCATCTATTCACCCTTTATGAACTATATTTGGAATCTTTATCTGATATGCAGCTAACTTCATACTACTTTAGCCCAATATCCCAGGACATATACATTATTAGGTTTTTCATGTTTTTATTTAAAATTTAGCTTTGGGAGCATTCTTAGTCATGAAGTTACAAATTCCTAAGATAGTTAACCCAAATACAGAAGACAATAAAGATGAAGGAAAGGTGGTGGGGAGGATCACACATTACCGTTTATGTTCTTCAGACAGAATCACTTTGACTATTTCTATTATAACTGATGATGCTATGATAAGTAAAATCATGAAATGAAAAATGGATTCTGCTAAAAATGAAAGTGAGAATGTTCTCTTCGTTTTAGGAAAAAAAAGAATCATATAAATAAATAAACATAAAATATTTATGTTCCAAAACCCATTAGTATCATCAGGAGGAGATACACAACTATTCTTTGGGTCCACACTCTGTAACTCCTTAGCTTACCTGCATATCATCAAAGTACTTGGCAAACCCTACTGAGTGTGTCAAATACAGGGAACAGTACATATTACATTTCTGTCTGTTTCTTCCAGCCGGCATGTTTTTCTCTAAGCCCAAGCCTTGGCTATTCCCAACACCTGCTTTTTATGGAATTCAAGTAGGCAATGCATTGTTTAACCAAGTTCATCAGGGACTTAGAACACTTCCCCATTTTCAGAGACGGTGCCTTCATCATTGTTCTCTTGCATATGATTTTCACTGTCCTGCGTCTCTTCTTCTGCCTCCTCCTCATCTCCAAAAGTCTGTTGTTGCATTGTAGTAAAAGTAAGTGATCTGGCAGCAACCTGTGCAGCTAGACCAGATGTAAAGTTGAAATCTGTTGATATATGGAGCTGAGCCAGCCTATGTTTGATGGAGGATTGTAATGCATCTCTCAGAGGTGTCTGTGAAGTCTCCAGTCCATCCACAATGGGTAGTATGGATTCTTCACCTTCACCTTCGCACTGATAACGTGTTCTTTTTTCAGCTACTGGAGATGCACCTTCCCCAGGAGCAATGTCTTTGTTTTCAACCATTACTGGATCTTCAAACAAATATTCAGTCCTCCTTTTCTCAGTGGCATGTGGTTTTGGATTTGAGTCTCTTTCTTCAGAATCATCACTACCTTGGATGCCATCCTGTTTTCCTATATCTGAATTCATAGGTGATTCCAGATTATTTATGGGATCCACTGGTTCTACAGGAGACAAGGGTTTCACCGCAGCTTAAAAAGGGAAAAAAAAATTAAAAGATAACTAAAAGTAACCTGCCACACACAATTCACCTATTTGTGTTTTATGTGCAAAATCTGTGTTTTCTGACCAGAATGTTGAAGATGCAACGTGATGGCTTCTAGTATTGACTACCCTTTAAATATCTCAAGAGGTACATAAAAATGGCCTTGCGTAGAGATGATGTGTTATGGAAGTTATAAGCAAAATCAGTTGCTGCACTGCACACAAATTTGAACTTTCTTCCATAAATAACAGGTATCTAATCAAGATAACTATACATAATAAAAAGGCTCTCACATGCAGTAACTTATTTTATACACCACAACATATAAATAAGACGTATTCATACAGTAGGGCAAGTTGTTCTTGCAAATAAACATGGTTTAATTTAGCTTTTCTTGATGTTAGTAGCAGCAGTGAGTCCCATTGCCAGCAACGGGATGTTTGCCAGAAAGTCTCTCCACCCAGTGTTAGGGGTTAGTACAACATGATACAATCACTTCTTGAAGAACAGGCTTCTTTCTTTTTAACAAAACGATAGTGTCCATTTCCAAGAAACAGATCCCTAAACTGCAGTAGCTCCATTAGAGTAGCAGCACGAACATACATAAGAGCAGCAACAGCAGGTCCCCTTGTGGCATTTCCCTTCCTAATTCCATTCTGACTTTACCCCTGTAAGCAGAGATGAAAATAACTCTGGAAAATACACAAACTTTTCATGGGAAACACATTTAAGGTATTAAGTTTTCTGCTGCATTCTATCTTGGTAATAATTATTTTAACTAGCTGAACATGGTAGCGTCAGTAGGTTTGTCACATCAGTTATTTTCATTAAATATACTGAAATACTGTTTCAGGAATTGCATTGCTCTTTTCCCTTTTTTTTTTTTAAAACACATCACAGTACTCAACCAAACCAAACAAATCTCATAGGTCAATTGTTCTAATGGAATAGCCCTTCATTATTTTAAAATTAATTTCTGTATATTTCTGCCCATTTCCTTCTGGAGGCAGGGTATGCAAATTTCTTTCCCCATGGAAGCACTTTAAGACCTAGTTTTGGTGCTTAAATTCCCAAAGAATACTTCCAAAACTGGAAAATAACGGAAAGATAACTAGGAAGAGATATTCCAATTTATAGACAGTCAAGTACCTGAGGCAATATAGAATTGGTCTATTTTCACAGAATGTTCCTCTTCCAATACAGAACTAATTATTAGAAAATAGCAACCAACTGTAGAAGAACAGATGGAAAGAGACAGAAAAAAACTCCAAACTCCAGAAAATCCCAAAATAAAACAATCAAACCACCTCAAAAATAAAACCACCAAACACTCAAAACAACTATGCAGTAACTGACAACAACCAATAGTAATTATATATGAATTCAGTTAAAACACATGTACTGTAGTTTCTCACATACAACGCTCCCCAGAATGTGATACACATCTTGTTTTTGACAGGCAATATGAAGGAAAAAAGAACTTTTCTTTTAGAAAGTCAGTGAGTAGGAACAGATAGGTTGCTGAGCCTGCTCATTGTTCTGCTCCCTGTGGATCATATACAGATTTTACTTTTGGTTTCACTAGTAAGCTTTTACCATATTTCTCACACTTTGCACTCCAGCTGCTGTTTTTTGGGAAAAAAAGTGCATGTTATATGCAAGATGCTTTCTTTGTTGTTCTGAGTGTTTACTGGTTTTGTTTTTGGGGAGAAATCTTACATATCCAGAACTGTGAGGCCACAAAAATTAGTATCATCTGTCACAAGGTGCCATTTGACCACTCCTGGACTCCTTGATACGTAGGAATGATACTAGCCCACACATTTGCATCAAGACACTTGTGGAGAAGACAAAAAGTAAAGATAGTACCCCAAACAACATATGTAGGGAATTTACAAACTCAAAGTGAGGAGCCAACCTATCCACGCTAAGAGCCACTGCACTCACACTTTTCTGTTCCATAGCTGAATATGCCTTTCTGGTGCCGAAAAGATTGGCTTATGCAAAGATGGTGGACTCTGGGCTGAATGATCACTGGCACTGCATTACAGGATGTCTAAAATCAACAAATAAGAACAATCTGGATGGCTTACTGGAATTACTTCTTCAGACATCAGGAAAGTGGTCACAAGCAAAATGGAATGATCATGGCAGGTCAGAGAATCTAGTCTAGGGTGACACTGCAGTTATCAGCTCCCTGAAATCTCAGAAAAGCTTTCTAGCTGCTATGGAATTGCTTTAAAAAAGTTACTAATGGTTACATGATTTGAATTATGGTATACAATATTCAACACACTTAACAAAGATATCACAGTGTATGAAGGCATCAATGGATGCCTCCCCACAGGGCTGACTGACTATATCATCTTTGAACAAGAACTAGGTAAAAGACAACATGAGAAAGTGGGGATAATTCTAACAATCTAGACGTGTGTTGACTATGGTGAAATATAGATCTTAGAACATCTGCTGGTCTGCCAGCTCCTGGAGGAACCATGCACCATGAAATCCTTGCCAAAACTACAAACCAAGCTATGCTATGTGCCTGATACTGGAAATATCTATAACTGGTGGCAAGACATGAGAAGTAGCAGTAGTCGTAATTAGCAGGTTGAATATTTTATTGTTCGGACAGAATATAAATAAAAGAGATGGGCACTGGAAGGAGGTGACTCTGTAACATTTGTTGAATGAAACTCGATCCAAACAGAGAAGCCTCTGTTTCTCTAGCCCACAGTGATGCTAAGGGAGTGAATGTAGACATCACAAGGACTGTTTAAAAAAATGTCCAGTATAGGATTCCTTGGTAGCCATGTCAGATCATTTCTATTTTTTTATAATAAAGCACAGACCATGAAAAGAGCACAAGGCTTTTAAAATAGGATTGTTTCATCTCAGGAGAATTTGAGAGCTCTTACTAGTAAGTAAAAAATGGTTTAGGGCAAAAGAAAGGAAGAAGGCCATACATGGAGAACAAAGGAGTATGGTAAAATTCCAGTTAGCTATTGGTATTCAAGAGCTAATCAAAAATGTTTGACTACTGTAGAAGTAAGAGACATGATGAACTTCTAATGTGTTCTGATAACAAATCATCCAAGGGCTAAAAAACCTGAATCTGAGGAATTGTAATTGAGCTGCATAGGGCACATATCTAGAAGAAATGCTATAATGACAGAGGGAAGACCTCAAGAGGATAAAAGTTTTTTGGCCTTGGATAATTAAAACAATATTCCTCACATTTTTCAGATTCTTGAGGGTTTTCTAGATGGTAGGAACAGCTCTATTACATAAGGGAATGGATTGAAGACTGTTGTTATCTGTCAGCATGCAGGACGTTAAGCTTAATTGACCTGAGTTCTGAAAAAGTTTTGAATTAGTCTGATTATACAATGATTTCTGAAGGTCCTCAATGACCAAATGAGGCAAGGAAAATTACTTCTACTAAGCTGTCTGAGGACACCCATAATCCCAACCAGCTGAATGAAAACATCTGTTGCACCATACTGAAGAATCCCCTTTCCTGGATGAGTTGCAATGTAAATGGGGACAGACCAACCTGAAGGAGGTCCCAAATTGAGAATATGTTGTTGACAATTACAGGATGCAGCTGCTTTTCCCCTGGTTGTGGAATGCTCTGCTGAGTCAGTATATCTGCTTTCAGCTTTCCCTGGAAAAATTGGGACAACAGACCTTCCTCTTCACCACTTTATAAAAAATGTTTAGAATCTCCATCCTGTGTGCCATCCTACTGGTTTACATTAGAAAGCAGATGTCCAACTGTTGCAGTCTATCTGAACCACTACATTAAAAGTGAAAGGGAGAAGGTGTTGAGTGTTAGGCTCAGTGGGCATTTATACATGTTCTCTGGAGCTGCTCTAATTAAAGTGCCTAGAGCATCTCATGTATCGGTATCTCCACGCTGAAAAGTGGTGGTGGGGATCCTTTAACTAAAGCTCATCGAAAAAGCTTTAAAGTGCCCATGTTGCCATTTTTCAGTGCAGAGACACTAATACACGAGACGCTGGAGTCTGCTGGAGCATAGTAATTACACGTTCCAGCAGACTTGAGTCTGCTCCGATGTGCTGTAATTACAGCTAAGGGAGAAAACATGTGTATAGGCATCAAATGCCATTACTTCAAGCTACTTCAACCTGGCCAGTAATCAGGCTGAATTCCCCTCTAGACCTCTCTGCAGGACCTGACAGGTCCATGCAAATGTGTCATCAATGTACGTAGTATCTGTTGCTATTCTAGTCTAGGGCATATGCATTACAGGATCTCCTGATTCCTCTTCTTTTGCAAAGAGCACTATCCCTGCAACCTTTAGGCTCAAGCTAGAAATGTGATCATCTAAGAGACCCAGACTTCCCCCTGTTTTTTCTCTAAATGGAGAGACATTATCCATCTTGGAGACAGTCCACTGTAATGGGCCTACCAAGGAGATTATGAGAACCACTAGAAGCAGAGCAAAAGTGAATGTGAGAACCAAACCACGAGATGTCACATGAGACATCAGAGGAAGCACAGAAAAAGAGACTGCTCTTAAAGACAGTCTGAGGACTTTTTATATCTTTGTTTTTGCACTCAACTAAGGTTGTAGTTTGATGGATTTAAGAAAGAGAAAAAGGCTGTGACACACATTTTATGGCTTTGAAAACAGACTGAAGTCTCATAGCTGAGTTTGCTTTATTACTTCATGTGCTTGCCCACTCAGTCCTTTAAGGAGGCAATCCAAGGGTCCCTCCATTTCTGGCTAGCATGGAAGCAGAGGCAGCCACATGAAGTATACAGTCACACATTGGTTGCTTTTGGATATTATATGGTTTGTGGCAGATGTGGCTTTCTTCTGCACTAAGCAGGATCATCCGAAATTGACAGTCTTTCACACAAACTTTTGAACAGAGAAGCCAGTTTCCCTAGACTTCTTTGCCCCTAAAAAAAAAAAAAAAAAAAAAAAAAAAAAATCACTCCTAAAAGATATGGGCC